AGAAAAATATTTATTACATAAACATACAGGTGATACATAGATATTGCAAAAATTGCAGGGAGGATGTGGATACACAAATGACTGAAATTCAGAAAACACTGTCCATCAGCATTTACCTCCTTCAGAGATCTCTGGTTGCAAGTGACAGAGACCCCCTCACATCAGCTTAAGCAAAATAAGAGAATGTATCCCAACAAGGGAATCTCACAGAACCCAAAGGAAGGAGTACGGATACTGCGCCTTCAGCAGGGCTAGGCCCGGAGAGGGAGCACCTGTGACTTTCTCTGGTCTCTGCTTTGCTGTACACATCTTTCCCAGCAGAGCTATTTTCTCTACTGCATTCATGCAGGTCACCCCCTCCCCTCAAACACATAGCGAAGCACACATGTAGTCACATTCACAGCTGCAGAGTTTATAGAGCTTCAGGCAAATGACCCGCAGGGCCTGAAACAGCTTCCCTGAACCTAGGCACTCAGCTTTCTTCCTTTCAGCTCTTATTAGAGGACTGAGGGGAACAAATTCTTAGAAAAGGGGAGGGTCCAGGATGAGCTGTCACCCTGACCAAGAAGTGTCTGCTTCAACATTTATGCTCCTAACAATCCTAAGAGGTAGGTTTTACCTCCTAGGTAACAATCCTAAGAGGTAGGAAATTGAGCTCCCTCAGCAGGAAATGATAAAGCCCAGGCTTGAACTTGAGTCTCTGTGACACCGAAGCTCAAGTATGCTTCGGTCACTTGGTCACCATCAGCTAAGCCCAACTCACAGCTACCATCCCAGACCCAAGCAGGTTACTGGCCCAGGGGGAGGCATTCATCCAAATTAGCAATCCAGTGTTTATAGGAGAGAAGTGTCCTGACTTCATGGGGACACTGCCTGGAAAGAAAGAAGACTTCCCAGAAGAAGCACAGAGATCTGGAAGCCAGGGAAGTCTCTTCGGAGCCCCTGAGTTTGGAGGGGCTCAATGTGAGGGTCACAGTGCAGGTGTACGTCTCAGGGCAGGAGAGGAGACTCAGTTGGAGACATTTACCAAAAACTCACAGGCAGGAATTTAGAGTTCTTCACAAGAAACCAATACCTGCTACGTCCTGGGACTGTGACTCCTGGAAACCACACTGGGAGGAGCCACCTAGAGAACAAGGGGGGAAGGAGAGCAGACAAGCTTCTTCCCCTGAGAGGCCTCACATTTTCCCAGCCCAACTACCTGTCCCCCTGGAAGCCTCTGGACACTGAGGTAGCCAGGCCTGGAGGGTCCCAATTTTGCTCTGAGGGGCCACTGAGCCACAGTGGGCAGCTGCCCCACAGGAGGTACTGAAGGTCTGTTGTTGAGAAAGAAAGATGGACGAGACCATCATCTCTTTCCCACTCCCCCAGCGCTGACCCAGGCCTGAGGGGAGGCCTGTGCAGTGAGACGCAAGTGCCTCAGGAAATGAGCTTCTGTCCTAGCTTTCCATCTGTCCCTGTTTTGTCTTCTCAGGTCACCACTCAGGACAGGTTTCTGGGTAAGTCAGGAGAAGGCTCCATGGAGCCTCCCCTGGGAAGTGTCACAAAGATTTTACGTCTAAGAGGGGAAAGAGGATGGTACCATCCTAGCTCAAAAGTCTGCCCCAAAGATAGTGCCACACGGCATGGGGAGGTCCCTTTCCCAAACTTCTTTTCTGCCATTATCACTTGGGTGTGGTTGCTCAAAACTTTAGGCTGCTGCCCCAATGGGATGAACTAGGCTCAGAGTTTGCCCCTAACATCTGCACTTGGCCCTGACATTCCTCTCAGCCCCATAAGACTTGGGGGCTCAGGATGAGATTTCAGGCCAACGTTACTATAATATGTGCCCACAGACAGAACGAGGGGCTCATTCAAGCTCTGGATTTTCCAGCAGTCAGCTCTGCCATCATCCCTGCCTGGGTGAGGTGGCCCCTACCTAAGGGGCCACCAGTGTCCAGGGAAGAGGCGCCCAAACCTTAATACCCAGCTCAGTCAGGAACACGCAGGGAAGAAAAGAA